TCAAACTGCTTTATTTCAGTAGTGTGAATTAGCTCTTGATCTCACCAGTCCTCCACATATTCATCTCAATGGAGACACTGGGTGGATAATACAGTAGTAGAGGGACCCTAGTACGTAGTACAGGGGTAGGCAACCTTTCCCCCTTAAGGGCCGAGGGACTTCAGCTCCCAGAATCCCAGGAGCTATCAGCCAACATGGGACTATTGGCCAACATGGCTGAGGCTTCTGGGAGCTGAAGTCTCTCGGTCCTTAAAGGGGAAAGGTTGCCTACCCCTGACGTAGTATAAGAGTGCAAATCTCCCTTCATCTTTTCTTTTGTTTACAATAAGCAATGTGTTTATATGTGTGTGAGAGAGGGGTATTGATCTGAATGAAGGGCATGATACAAGCAAAAAGTGAGTTTTAGATGCCCCCCTCCATGATAGGGAATTGCCACCCCATCTATGGAGAAGGAGATGTAATATACCTTCATGTTTTGTTTAATTTTTTTCTCCTGCACAGACAATAACAACTGGTGGAGGAGAATTCAGATTGGGGACATCAATGAAAGGAAAGGATTAAAGCCCCTCTTCTTCACCCTCATGGCCCTGATTCGAACTTGCTTTCCTACATGGCTATTTTTAGGACGAGGAAAATATGTGGGGAAGTGGGGACATCTATCAGCTTAACTTTCTCCTGCTTTTGAGTATTTTAAATCTCAACTTCTCTCTATTCAGAATATGCAAATGAAAAATATTTGGAAATTCAATAAAAACAAACTGAAATGAAATTAACTCCCATTCTCACCTATCAAATTCATCATGTAGTGCTATTCCTAGAAGAGAAAGGGCCATGTTGCACCTGATGGATCAGGATGAATGAATCTGTCAATTTTTGTTTTCTCTGAATTTTGTTTAAAATAGCAAGTTTTTTCCATTCTGAAAATGAACAAGTCAGAGAATGTCAGCAAATTATGTTTAGTAAACTCAAACTGAAACAAAGAAAATCATCCATCTATATAACTGTAGAACCAGCATGGTGTAGTGATTTGAGTGTTGATCTAGGACTCTAGAAATTAGGGTTCAGATCTCCACTCAGCCATGAAAACCACTGGATGACTAGGAAGTCACACTCTCACAGCCTCAGAGGACAGCAATGGAAAACCTCCCTTGAACAATCTTACCAATAAAACACTATGAGATGGTTTCCATAAGTCAGAATCTATTTGGAGGCATGTAACAAGAAATATAGTTGGAAGATTCATTCATTAGTTTGGTTCTAATCAATAACACTCCATTTTCAACATTGGCAAAAAGCATACTTAGATGCCACAGTCCCTTACCCAGGGATTGCTTTATAAAAGACCTTCCACCCTTAAGACTGCAAAATCTAAAATCCTAGGGATAGAGCAGAGATACATATAGGATTACAGTGCACCCACACCAACCGCAGGCTTGCCATCCGTGCTTTGAGCTTCCGCGGATGGCAAGCCCTGACTGTTTGAATGGGTGTGCATGCACATGGCGGTGTGCACAGGAGCACACACCCATTGAAAAGAACAGGGCTTAAGGTACCACAATTTTTGCTATTTGCGGGGTGTGTGTGTGGGTGTGTCCAGAACAGATCTCCTGCGGATAGCAAGGGTGCACTGTATTAAGATTTCAGAAACTTTGCCCTTCTCAGCTACTTTGGATTACAATGACAGCATTTTCCCAAGAGAAGTGAAAAAATGGCATAACTAGTTATGCTTGTATATGGGGAGATAATGTGTTTTAAAAGGATAAAAAGACAGGGGTGCGTTGTTAAACCTATAATCACTCATCTCCTCATTCCCATAGATTCATCACAGTGGAAGATAACAATCACACCCTGTAATATTAAAGCAATAATACAGGCTCAATGTTGTGTTTATCTTTTGTATTACTATACAGCTTGCTTAACCATCTGTTCTCTGTCCACATAATACTTTTTCCTTAGTTTACTGTAATTCAGGGATAGGGAATGTGTGTCCTTCCGGATGTGGCTGGACTGCCATCCCCATTATCCATCATAATTGGTCATGGTGGCTATGGCTGATGACACCTGCAATATGATAATTCGCAGGGCTTCCACTTTCTCACTCTTGATCTAATTGGACACAAATAATTGTATCCAGGTTTAGTTATACTTAGAGCAGGCCCACTAAAATTGATGAGAAATTAGACATATTTACCTTAACCCTTGATGATTTCAGTGGGTCTATTATGAATAAAATCTGATTCAACCCAATATGTTCTGTGATTATCAGGTATGATGCTAAAGAAGCAAAAGCAAAAGCAGCTTCATTTATATACCGATTCATACCGTGCTATGCAGTGTCTAAGTGGCTTACAACTGTAAGCTCATTGCCCCCCAACAGCTGGATACTCATTTTAGTGACCTCGGAAGGATGCAGGCCTGAGTCATAGAATATAGAACCATAGAGTTGGAAGAGACCACAAGGGCCATGCAGGAATTCCCAATCAAAGCATCCCTGACAGATGGCCATCCAGACTGCTTAAAGACCTCCAAGGAAGGAGACTCCACCACACTCTGAGGGAGTGTGTTCCACTGTTGAACAGCCCTTACTGTCATAAAGTTCCTCCTAATGTTGAGGTGGAATCTTTTGGAGCTTGCACCCATTATTCTGTGTCCTATTCTCTGGAGCAGCAGAAAACAAGCTTGTTCCCTCCTCAATATGACATCTCTTGAAATATCTAAACACGGCTTTCATATCACCTCTTAACCTTTTCTTCTCCAGGCTAAACATCCCCAGCTCCCTAAGTCGTTCCTCATAGACCCTTCACCATTTTAGTTGCCCTCCTTTGGACACTTTCCAGTTTCTCCACAAGCCTGAGCCCTGGCTAGTATTGAACTCGCAACCTTGTGGTTTATGAGTGAGTGGTTGCAGTACAGGCATTTAAACACTGTGCCACCAGGGCTCCTGGTGAAAGAAAGCTGAGCAACTTTGGACTCTGGTTTTTGCAAAGGCAGGAAGCCAATATTGATAGTATCTCCAATGAGGAGGGCTTAGGCTGGTCACAGACTGATGGGACAGAACATGTAGACCAGAATAGGAAACGAGTTCTGGCTACAATTCCCAGAATTCTGCAAACAAAATGCAATCTCCAAGTTTGGCTAGGACTTGCTTGCTCTCATTTGGAGAAATGTCAAGACTCTGAGGCTTCTCTGTTAGTAACCACTTCAGTCTCTGGACTCCTTGGTAATGGAGAGGCTTCTGTCAGTAGCTGAATAGACTACAACTCTTTAGATCGGGGTAGGCAACCTAAGGCCCAGGGGCTGGATGCGGCCCCCTGAGGCCTTTGGACTGGCCCCAGGCTGGTCCTGCCACCGCCGCTGCCGCCAGCCATAATAATATTGATTATTGTTGTTATTACTTGTTCTTGGGGTTTTCTTGGCAAAATCTCCACAGGTGGTTTGCCATGGCTTTTCTGGGGCTGAGAGAGTGTGCATGCATATTTTAATTTTTTAAATTTTTTAAAAAATTATATTTATTTATTTATTTATTTATTTATTTATTTTTGGTGCTTCGGCCCCCCAAATGTCTGAGGCACAGCAACCCGGCCCCCGGCTCAAAAAGGTTGCCTACCCCTGCTTTAGATGCTTCCACATCTATGCTGATCATTGATAATGGGCCATTCCTGGGCCAGAAAGGCCTAATGCCAAGGCAAGGGGCTTCCTGAAGCCAAGGGCAACTGATTCCCCCTGCCCAAGACTTCCCACCCTTTATTTGATAGAAATGTTACACATTAACCCTGCTGTTATTCTTTTCCTTTTGCAACCTCATCCCTGCAAACTGACTCCACAAAGCAACTGCATGCCTGCCACGAGGACAAGGGATGGTCAATGCACATGATGACCATCCCCATCCCCAGTCAATCACCCTGCCCAAGGCCATAGGTTGCTTGCAACCACAGGGAGCAAAAAAGATTGAAAAGAATTTCAACTTTCCATGTCAACACTGACGTAGGATGGCCAACTTCTTTGTTAATTCTATTTGTTACTAATAATCCATTCATTACAAGATAACAATACAATAATCCATTCATTACAAGATAATTACATTGCCTTGACCCATTGCCTCTTTCTTGGCGATTTCCTGTCTTCCCAATCCTGCCCTCACTTTCCATTTTAACTCCTTTTTGCATGCATTCAAGCTTGAGATAGAGATGATGTCACAATCAGTGTAAACATGGGAGACACCTGTGCACACTATGTATAGCGAGATGGGATTTTGGCAACAGCACAAATATGTATGCTGGGCAAGTAATAGTAAGATACATGTCTAATTTAGGTTGTAATAATCTCACTTACCTGCAAATCAGCCTTCAATGGCATGGGACTGTGGGCTAGCGATGGAAAGAATATTCATTCTTATTTGATCCCAGGCCAAAAAAAGGGTTCCCAACAAGAATTTGCTCATTTTACTCAAATGTTCCAGTGTTTCAGAAGAATTATTCTGTATGGAAAAGCACTTTGGTTGTTTTGTTGTTGTTGTTGTTTGCACAAAACCAATCTCCTTCAGTGAGAACAGGTTTCCTGCACAAAAATGTGCTGTTGCCCTTTTCTGCACACTAAAGTCAAATATGGAGAGAATACTGTGGAAGCATAGTCATTTCTTCACTCATGCAAGAACAAAATAGTCAAGAATTTACATCTTTAGATTGTGCTGTCAATAAGTAGCTGACGAATTAATTTCATCTCATAGTAACTTCACTAGATCTGTTTCATTTCTGTGCCAGTCACTGAGCTTTAATTACTATCTCTGCTTAGTCCCCCAATAAAATAAAAAGGCTAGCAACTACTGTAGATTTTTAATTTCATTGCTGTTCTTGCTGTGAGCCTTCAAGTCATTTTCAATTTGTTGTGATCCTAAAGCAGAGCTATAATGGTTTTATTTTTTTATTCAGAGAGAGGCTGCCTTTGCCTTCCTCTGCGACTGAGAAAGTGTGACTTGCCCAAGGTCACCCAGTGAGCTTCTATAGCTGAGCAGAGATTCGAATCCTAGTCTCCCAAGTTGTAGTCGATTGCACAAACCACTACACCACACTAGCTCTCTTCATTTTGTTATGAGAGATGACATTCAGCCTTGGTATACTCTGCAGTATTCAAGCTTTAAAAGTAGCACTTTGCTTATCTGTTTCTTTTTTGGAGGGGAAATGTAGTAACTCTGACCACCAGGATGCTCTGCACAGTCAAATGTTCCAGGAAAGATAGTAATACTTTAACACTCAATTGCTACTGGTCAAGCACAGCTCCTGTAACAGTAGCATGAAGCCTAATAGTAGAGCAGCAAGAGAAAATAAGAGGGGTTAGAGTGGAGGGAGGACAAACCACTGGAAGCAGCAATTGAAGTTTATCAATACACCATGGGTGCATTCATTTCTTCCAAATGGCCATTCACAAATGAATAATCAGTGCCTTGATTAACATTGATTAATCAGTTTAACAAGGAGTTTTAGGGTGGCCAAGGAATGCCCTCTGCCTTTTGCCATAAATATGTCTGCAATTATTCCTCTTTTCTGTTTGATCCCAGAGAGCTCTTTTGTTCTCCAAGTGCATTGTTCCTTTTCCATGTACAGAAAAAAATGCCTCGGTATGTGGCCAATTCCACATTTATTCCTCTGTAAACCTGTCACACTTCGTAAATAACAGCTTTTAATGAAATAGTGAGTATCTATGTTTAGACCCTTTGACGTTTTTTTAAATTATAGCTTCAGAATAACAATTGCACAGTAAACTACACATTTAAGCAACACACATAAACAATGTCCTATTTTTTCATTATGCAATTGCTTGTGTTTTATTGCTGCCTCTCATGAGTCATGTGTAACCTGCCATGAAACTAAGGCATGTTGCACACCAGCTATTGTCTCCTGGTTCACAAATGCAACATCCATACAGGGAATTTGATTGTGATCTCCAACAAGTCACATTTCTGCAGAAAGCACACATTTGCATATACAAATGGCTCATGTATGATACAGAACACAGCACTGCAATCAAATTTCATCATGACACAAGTGTGGTCATTGCTGTGCCCACCAACAGAGTAGATCCATGGATGTGTAACACTTGCCTTCTCATTCTGAGTGTGTGTTTGCTTCTATCCTTCTATTTAACTCCAGCCCAGAGACAAGCAGGTGATTATCTCCTGTGACTTTAGGAAATGTGAGTTAGACACAGCTGGCCAGTACTTCAACTACTCCTCCTTCCCTCTTTCTGTGATCTGCTTAGGAAAGATAAACTCAAAATGCCAAGCTAACCCTTGGAAGTATAAATAGTAAAACAGCCCAGGCTGAGACTCTAATTTAAACTATTTATTGAAGTAAATATAAAGACAAAGGGATTTGTGATAATACACAGTAAAATGGGGAGGGGGGGATTGTAAACCAGCAATACTAATCTGTCTAAATTCTACCCTCTAATCAAACCACATGGTATACTAAAGACACTGTAAAGTTCAAAATCCCTTTCATTTTTACACTCAAGTAAGCACAGCTGCAATCTGAGTTGTGGCCATCTTGCACAGAAAGGGGATGGTTTCCTTTCCTTTCCCAGGATGGCTGGTTTCCAGCCAGTTTTTAATTTAAAAAGTAACACACACACTTTAGAGTAGGCTTAAAAAGTGGTGGCAATGGGGTACTCCCTTGATCCCCAGAAGAAAAAACAATCAGCACCAATGCATTCCTAAGGAAGAGTGAAAGGCAAAGAAGAGACCCCCCCACCCCAGTTCTACTGCTTTATGGATCTGAGGAACTACAGGCCAGGTCAGACAGGACAGGACAATTTGCATCCAATGAAGGCTTGTTTTCTAGAGCGCTTTCACACTATACAGTTATAGATAGCACCATGATTCCACTTTAGTTCCACATGGTTCCATCCCATGAAATCCTTGGATTTGCAGTTGAGGGAGAAGCATTTAGAATTCTCAGCCAGAGAGTTCTAATGCCTCACAAAACTACAAGACCCAGGCCTTTGCAGACTGCCAGAAATAGTGCAAATTGAGTCCACTTTAACTGCCCTGACTCAGTGCTAGGAAATCATGGGAACTGTAGTATATTGTGGCACCAGAGCTCTCTGACAGAGGAGGCTCAGTGTCTCAGGAAAAAAAATACAGTTCCCATGATTCCCTAGCATTGAGCCAGGGCAGTTAAAGTGGATTCAATTTGCACTATTTCTAACAGTCTGCAAAGGCCCGGTGTTGCCATGTAGAATCATAGCTCACTAGAAACTCATTGATTATTGTACACATACATATATACCATCAACTGCATGTGCTGCAAACAAATATACAGGTCCATTTCAACAACACCTATCAAGAAAATAGATAATTCACATACACAATGCCAATGAAAACATACAGACCCATCTATTTAATTTACACACCAAAAGCTATGCACTCTGTGTGTGCACTGAAAAGATTAGTCCATGTTTCCTCCTCTTTTATGATCAGGCCTCCGTGAGAATCTATACCTCGACACCTGTCCCTGTGCCCTTCTGTGTATTATTGTTTTGATCTTTGATATAGAGGTATATATCCTCTTTTAATTGGTATTTTAATATTGTTGGATTTAATAATTTTTTAAGGGGTGGGAGGAGGGAGAGAAATTGTTCTTAAAGGTTGTAAGATGATTTTATCATGTAAGCCGCCCCGATTGATCTCAGAGGTGCGGGATATCAAATAAAAATTATTATTATTATTATTATTATTATTATTATTATTATTATTATTATTATTATTATGGCAGACTGTATTAGGATGACAGATGCTGATGAATGTCATGGCACTAGCTTTCTCCCTTTCTCATAATACTAGAACCCAGGATCATCCCCTGAAGCTCAGTAGTGAGAGACTCAGGACAAATAAAAGGAAATAGTTCTTCCCACCCTGCACAGTTTAACTGTGGAATTCATTGTTACAAGTTGTAGTGCTGGCTGCCAACTTGGAGAGCTTTAAAAGGATATCAGTTAAATTCATGGAAATATTAATGGCTACCAGTCAGGATGGGCTGTATCTAACCTCTTCCGGTGGCAACAGCAACGTGCCGGGTCTGTTTTTCAATGAGAAAACTGATCATAATGTGGTGATAAAGTGTCCTCAAATAATTAAGCTTGAGGGACAAATTCTGCCTTGGTAAAGGGGGATCAGAGGGACTCATCGGGGATCCAGATTCCAGTCTCCTAGTGTATGGGGAAATGCACGGTAAAAAAGAAGGGAGAAGAAGATTGGAGCGTTTGGATCTGAAGACATTCTGTGGTCAGCTTTTACATTCACCTGGAATGGCACACATTTCCTTCCCCTCTGCGATATGCAATATGACTGGGTCAATGGTAAAATAACCATATAACAGTGTAATAATTGGTTTCCTATGTGCCAACTGCCATTGGGTGATTTGCCCTTGAAGTTTAGTGTGGAGCTGCAATGCTTCCTTCACTAATATTTTATTATGAACCTATACACCAATGCCACCTTATGGCTCTCCCTCTCCTCTGTTAGTTTCTACACTGTAGACATTTTTTATTTCCCATCCCTCTCACCTGCTTTTTTTTTTTTTTTTGGCAGAATAGCACAATCTCCATTTGCAGGGACTGGCTGTGGAGGCTTCTGATACAGAGCTATTTCCTGGCTCCATTCTCATTTCCATTCCCAAATCAGTTTCCTGTACATTTCTGCACTTTTGAACTTCCCTAACTTTATCAATCCGGCACTTTGTAACCTTCACTTTATGCTGCACATATTTCCTTTTGGTGGAAGCTGTCTTACATCTCACATTTTCAGAGGTTCATGCATTTTTCCACTATACCTCTGCAACTTGGAAGTGAACAATCAACAGAAATGGCAAATGGGTCTCATGGGTGCAAAAATATCCACCATCCAGCATTAAATGAAGTGAGCGCACCTTACAGTTCTCTCTGTACATTGAAAGAATATTCTGTCGCTGTCCTCTTGGATACTTGCCCTGAACTGTAAAACTTTGGACGTTATCACACAGGGTCTAAAGCAGACAGAACCCCGTCCCATCCCCGTCCCATTGCGGTTCTTTTGCCCCTGTGTTCACATGACGTTGCACAGAACCCCGCCCATCCCCGTCCCATTGCGGATCCTTTGCACCTGTGTTCACACGACATCACAGAGAACCCCCTCCCATCCCCCTCCCATCCCCGTCCCATTGCGGCATGATCCCCGTTCTTTTGCATGCCGGTTTCATTGGGAATTACTTTTGCGCAACCAGAAGCATACCGGAATGATGCTGCTTTCGTTCATTCCAGAATGATGCTAGTTGCTAGAGACCCGCATGTGAAAACGTCCAATGTCTCTGCTTAAACATTTCTTACCCTTGCCCCATTATCATGAATTGTCACAGCTTTCCTTTATTTTAGTAGTCTGTATTTCCTCTTTCCCCCTTTGCCCATATGCTCACCTTTGTTTCATTTGTATATTTTTTAATTAAAAAGATGAAAAATGCTGAATTGAAACAACTTACACATTTAAAATGCAAGGAAAAAATAGTTCCTATTTCTAATAATTTCTCAGTAGGTGAGAATCTCTATACACTTAGGACCAAAATCACAACATCTCAAGAGAGTCAGCACAGTGTGGCTTTATCATATAGCCATCACATGAACAATGGCTGTGTGAAACATCTGTTGAAAGCAGAGGAACCTGTCCAGCCCTAGATTTGATAATATCGAGGGGGAGGCAACAGTCTTGAGAGCAGACAGAACGAAAGTGGAAAATCAAGGGTGTTTAAGGCCAGGCATAGTTTAGGTTCAGCAACATTGTTATTTCATGTAAAGCCGAGGCATAATTTGGCAAGCTGAGAAATAGAACAAAATGTAGTCTTTCCTTCTGGTCAGGGGCCTGTCAAGTTCTCAAATCCTCTGTATGTGAAAGGAGGTAGACTGGGGGAACACGAGGCTGTCTTTTGCAAGCATGCAATGTGAGTGACATCACATTTGCTTGCATCTTGCTCAGCTGTGAAGTAGACACCATCAGGGGACTTGATGGATGGATCAACATCGAAGTAATTGTAAGGCCGAAGTAAAAAGCC